AATATAGTTCAAATTCAATAAAAATCGACAAAAATACAGTTTCTAGCTAAAATTTGATGGTTTCGTTGCGCTTTCCGAGCCCGTAGGGTATCTGATTGGCTTAAAAGTACAAGAAAACACTTCAAAAGTGACGTTTCTGAAGAATTTTAACAGTTTTCTTGTATCTACGAACGCCAGAATGCATAAAATTGACCTAAACGTCTCCTTTTCCTATTCTGAGTCGATTCTGCATGCTTTAAGTGTGTTTGGTGGCTCAGAACCATCAAAAAACGTTGAAATATAGTTCAAATTCAATAAAAATCGACAAAAATACAGTTTCTAGCTAAAATTTGATGGTTTCGTTGCACTTTCCGAGCCCGTAGGGTATCTGATTGGCTTAAAAGTACAAGAAAACACTTCAAAAGTGACGTTTCTGAAGAATTTTAACAGTTTTCTTGTATCTTCGAACGCCAGAATGCATAAAATTGACCTAAACGTCTCCTTTTCCTATTCTGAGTCGATTCTGCATGCTTTAAGTGTGTTTGGTGGCTCAGAACCATCAAAAAACGTTGAAATATAGTTCAAATTCAATAAAAATCGACAAAAATACAGTTTCTAGCTAAAATTTGATGGTTTCGTTGCACTTTCCGAGCCCGTAGGGTATCTGATTGGCTTAAAAGTACAAGAAAACACTTCAAAAGTGACGTTTCTGAAGAATTTTAACAGTTTTCTTGTATCTACGAACGCCAGAATGCATAAAATTGACCTAAACGTCTCCTTTTCCTATTCTGAGTCGATTCTGCATGCTTTAAGTGTGTTTGGTGGCTCAGAACCATCAAAAAACGTTGAAATATAGTTCAAATTCAATAAAAATCGACAAAAATACAGTTTCTAGCTAAAATTTGATGGTTTCGTTGCACTTTCCGAGCCCTTAGGGTATCTGATTGGCTTAAAAGTACAAGAAAACACTTCAAAAGTGACGTTTCTGAAGAATTTTAACAGTTTTCTTGTATCTACGAACGCAAGAATGCATAAAATTGACCTAAACGTCTCCTTTTCCTATTCTGAGTCGATTCTGCATGCTTTAAGTGTGTTTGGTGGCTCAGAACCATCAAAAAACGTTGAAATATAGTTCAAATTCAATAAAAATCGACAAAAATACAGTTTCTAGCTAAAATTTCATGGTTTCGTTGCACTTCCCGAGCCCGTAGGGTATCTGATTGGCTTAAAAGTACAAGAAAACACTTCAAAATGACGTTTCTGAAGAATTTTAACAGTTTTCTTGTATCTACGAACGCCAGAATGCATAAAATTGACCTAAACGTCTCCTTTTCCTATTCTGAGTCGATTCTGCATGCTTTAGGTGTGTTTGGTGGCTCAGAACCATCAAAAAACGTTGAAATATAGTTCAAATTCAATAAAAATCGACAAAAATACAGTTTCTAGCTAAAATTTGATGGTTTCGTTGCACTTTCCGAGCCCGTAGGGTATCTGATTGGCTTAAAAGTACAAGAAAACACTTCAAAAGTGACGTTTCTGAAGAATTTTAACAGTTTTCTTGTATCTACGAACGCCAGAATGCATAAAATTGACCTAAACGTCTCCTTTTCCTATTCTGAGTCGATTCTGCATGCTTTAAGTGTGTTTGGTGGCTCAGAACCATCAAAAAACGTTGAAATATAGTTCAAATTCAATAAAAATCGACAAAAATACAGTTTCTAGCTAAAATTTGATGGTTTCGTTGCACTTTCCGAGCCCGTAGGGTATCTGATTGGCTTAAAAGTACAAGAAAACACTTCAAAAGTGACGTTTCTGAAGAATTTTAACAGTTTTCTTGTATCTACGAACGCCAGAATGCATAAAATTGACCTAAACGTCTCCTTTTCCTATTCTGAGTCGATTCTGCATGCTTTAAGTGTGTTTGGTGGCTCAGAACCATCAAAAAACGTTGAAATATAGTTCAAATTCAATAAAAATCGACAAAAATACAGTTTCTAGCTAAAATTTGATGGTTTCGTTGCACTTTCCGAGCCCGTAGGGTATCTGATTGGCTTAAAAGTACAAGAAAACACTTCAAAAGTGACGTTTCTGAAGAATTTTAACAGTTTTCTTGTATCTACGAACGCCAGAATGCATAAAATTGACCTAAACGTCTCCTTTTCCTATTCTGAGTCGATTCTGCATGCTTTAAGTGTGTTTGGTGGCTCAGAACCATCAAAAAACGTTGAAATATAGTTCAAATTCAATAAAAATCGACAAAAATACAGTTTCTAGCTAAAATTTGATGGTTTCGTTGCACTTTCCGAGCCCGTAGGGTATCTGATTGGCTTAAAAGTACAAGAAAACACTTCAAAAGTGACGTTTCTGAAGAATTTTAACAGTTTTCTTGTATCTACGAACGCCAGAATGCATAAAATTGACCTAAACGTCTCCTTTTCCTATTCTGAGTCGATTCTGCATGCTTTAAGTGTGTTTGGTGGCTCAGAACCATCAAAAATCGTTGAAATATAGTTCAAATTCAATAAAAATCGACAAAAATACAGTTTCTAGCTAAAATTTGATGGTTTCGTTGCACTTTCCGAGCCCGTAGGGTATCTGATTGGCTTAAAAGTACAAGAAAACACTTCAAAAGTGACGTTTCTGAAGAATTTTAACAGTTTTCTTGTATCTACGAACGCCAGAATGCATAAAATTGACCTAAACGTCTCCTTTTCCTATTCTGAGTCGATTCTGCATGCTTTAAGTGTGTTTGGTGGCTCCGAACCATCAAAAAACGTTGAAATATAGTTCAAATTCATAAAAATCGACAAAAATACAGTTTCTAGCTAAAATTTGATGGTTTCGTTGCACTTTCCGAGCCCGTAGGGTATCTGATTGCCTTAAAAGTACAAGAAAACACTTCAAAAGTGACGTTTCTGAAGAATTTTAACAGTTTTCTTGTATCTACGAACGCCAGAATGCATAAAATTGACCTAAACGTCTCCTTTTCCTATTCTGAGTCGATTCTGCATGCTTTAAGTGTGTTTGGTGGCTCAGAACCATCAAAAAACGTTGAAATATAGTTCAAATTCAATAAAAATCGACAAAAATACAGTTTCTAGCTAAAATTTGATGGTTTCGTTGCACTTTCCGAGCCCGTAGGGTATCTGATTGGCTTAAAAGTACAAGAAAACACTTCAAAAGTGACGTTTCTGAAGAATTTTAACAGTTTTCTTGTATCTACGAACGCCAGAATGCATAAAATTGACCTAAACGTCTCCTTTTCCTATTCTGAGTCGATTCTGCATGCTTTAAGTGTGTTTGGTGGCTCAGAACCATCAAAAATCGTTGAAATATAGTTCAAATTCAATAAAAATCGACAAAAATACAGTTTCTAGCTAAAATTTGATGGTTTCGTTGCACTTTCCGAGCCCGTAGGGTATCTGATTGGCTTAAAAGTACAAGAAAACACTTCAAAAGTGACGTTTCTGAAGAATTTTAACAGTTTTCTTGTATCTACGAACGCCAGAATGCATAAAATTGACCTAAACGTCTCCTTTTCCTATTCTGAGTCGATTCTGCATGCTTTAAGTGTGTTTGGTGGCTCCGAACCATCAAAAAACGTTGAAATATAGTTCAAATTCAATAAAAATCGACAAAAATACAGTTTCTAGCTAAAATTTGATGGTTTCGTTGCACTTTCCGAGCCCGTAGGGTATCTGATTGCCTTAAAAGTACAAGAAAACACTTCAAAAGTGACGTTTCTGAAGAATTTTAACAGTTTTCTTGTATCTACGAACGCCAGAATGCATAAAATTGACCTAAACGTCTCCTTTTCCTATTCTGAGTCGATTCTGCATGCTTTAAGTGTGTTTGGTGGCTCAGAACCATCAAAAAACGTTGAAATATAGTTCAAATTCAATAAAAATCGACAAAAATACAGTTTCTAGCTAAAATTTGATGGTTTCGTTGCACTTTCCGAGCCCGTAGGGTATCTGATTGGCTTAAAAGTACAAGAAAACACTTCAAAAGTGACGTTTCTGAAGAATTTTAACAGTTTTCTTGTATCTACGAACGCCAGAATGCATAAAATTGACCTAAACGTCTCCTTTTCCTATTCTGAGTCGATTCTGCATGCTTTAAGTGTGTTTGGTGGCTCAGAACCATCAAAAAACGTTGAAATATAGTTCAAATTCAATAAAAATCGACAAAAATACAGTTTCTAGCTAAAATTTGATGGTTTCGTTGCACTTTCCGAGCCCGTAGGGTATCTGATTGGCTTAAAAGTACAAGAAAACACTTCAAAAGTGACGTTTCTGAAGAATTTTAACAGTTTTCTTGTATCTACGAACGCCAGAATGCATAAAATTGACCTAAACGTCTCCTTTTCCTATTCTGAGTCGATTCTGCATGCTTTAAGTGTGTTTGGTGGCTCAGAACCATCAAAAAACGTTGAAATATAGTTCAAATTCAATAAAAATCAACAAAAATACAGTTTCTAGCTAAAATTTCATTGGTTTTCGTTGCACTTTCCGAGCCCGTAGGGTATCTGATTGGCTTAAAAGTACAAGAAAACACTTCAAAAGTGACGTTTCTGAAGAATTTTAACAGTTTTCTTGTATCTACGAACGCCAGAATGCATAAAATTGACCTAAACGTCTCCTTTTCCTATTCTGAGTCGATTCTGCATGCTTTAAGTGTGTTTGGTGGCTCAGAACCATCAAAAAACGTTGAAATATAGTTCAAATTCAATAAAAATCGACAAAAATACAGTTTCTAGCTAAAATTTGATGCTTTCGTTCAGAGATATGGAGAAGGAGAATGAGCTTCCCCATGCGCAGACGAAATCCTTGGTCTAAAATTGAAAGCAGCCATTTTATCAGTTGACTGTTGCCAACATAATCACAAATCACTAACAGAACTTGATATCCCTAGACAATTGCTTCATTATTGGGCGGGAAGTTTAAAATCATTAATTACAATCACCTAATAATAAATCACAACTAAAATATATTTCACCTTAAACGAATAAATAAACATAATTATACTTCAATATATTTATTGATGCGAAAACAGTACTAATTATGTGTACACATGTCTAACAGAAGTGCCTTGAGCAAGACATGAAAGTCTTTTGCTCAAATGAAACATTCTTATTCGCATGTAGGCATTAATTATTTGTTTAATAAGAATATATAAATGGCCTTCATCGATGGCCACCGTCTCGAGTGCGTGGGTCTTCTAAATTAGGAAAAAGAATGCTGGCATGCCGAAAGTTTTAAAAAATTGTTCATCGCTTGGAAGTTTATCGGTGAGTTGCAAAATTTTTCGTATTAACAGTAACAACAAGTCTTCACAACCCCAGCAAAAGGTTTAATAAGCCCACCTAAAATCAAAATTTTGTTAAGACTTAAAAAATAACTATTGTAAGTATTTGATTTTACCCATGTTTTTTTTGTCCAATAATCTGTAAAAGTGTAAGTCACTTCTTCTTGTTTCAATACAAGAAGAAATGCAGTCTGCGCACTTAAACGTCTTCACCACCATTTTGACAACATAGCTACCAATATATGCCACGTTTTCTGCCACTTCACTCAGCCCAATAAACTTAGACGGTCATAGTCATGATCTGCAAGTGCTTCAGTCAAAATATCGAGATCATATTTTTTCAAGACAAACAAGTCAACTGATTGTTGAACATTTGTGCTCTTTTGCTTTGGGCCAATGTTAACAGAGAGCAGACAGGTGGTGCAAAGCACTTTACAATTTCCTCCTTCCCTCGTTATGTTTGTAAATAGAAGCAATCTTCTAAGTTTTACAAAATCGTAGAGGAGTAGGGTTATTGTTTCACCCATTTCTCGATCTGAAAACAGAAAAATAAATACAGATTTGTGTAATTCCAGTGCATAAAAAAGTAATACAATTGTTTTTTTAAAAGCTTACCGCACTGAGCAGAAGAAAATTTCTAGATGATCTTGACTACATTTATGTTAGCAAGTCATTCAACCTCTTACTACTAACAAATTCATCAAAAATTCCCATGAACGACGTAGCGGAAATAACAAAGCCCAGAATTGACGTTTTTCGGGGCGTGCACCACAAAGGCCCGCCAGTGACATCCTTCAAATTCAGAAGATACTCACTGGTGTCGATGAGAAATGGACGCCACATTTCTTCATTGTTTTCTCTCAAAGGTGCCTTAAAATTCTTAGCACGTACACTTCGAGAATTGAGAATATCAAATAAAGAATCTATCCTTCTGATGAATTCTATTGTTGTTTCACAACCTTGAAAGTCACTAATACCAAGATCTTTTAAAAATTCAAGTGCATCCGCAACTCTTGCTAAGAGTTTGTGCTGCTAAACTCACCTATAATAGAACTTAATTATTGTCAATAAGGAATATTGTCAGGAAAACAACTTACTTTCATTTTATGTTTCCATCACTCCAAATGTGCCTTTTTCAACTTGTTTGCAACATTTAGGAATTCATCATTTTGTAATTCATGTAGTTTCTTTATGTAACGCCAGCTTATCACCTTCCCTCCTGTCAGAACTACTTTTTGAGTTCTTGCTTTTACTTCCACTTGTACTGCTACTGCTTTTTCCATGGTATCTCTGCGCAGCACTAAATAATAATTATTAACAGTAGTAAAAAATTCAATATAATAAAATATTCAAACCTTAATGTCCTCTTTACACCTTGAGGTATAATCGATGGAGACTCTTCTCAAATATAGCTGAAGTAGCACTCACAGTACTCATTGAAGTTGAAGAAGCTTCTAGACTTTCATCTAAATTCACACTGGGAATTGCGTTCGATTTCAATCGTTTTCACTCAATTACAACATTGAAATCAGTTGTTGTGAAATGATCTGAGCACACCAGCTTATACTTAGTCAGTTTGAAGCTGTCACCTTTTTTCACAACAATCAGCCACTTTTTTAAAAGTTTTCGATCTTTCGGAAACCTAAAATCAGATATAATAAATATTGATCACATAGTATTGCAATAACCAATTGTTATTAATTATAACTATCTACGTATTCGATTTTAATAAGATAATGAAGAAAACTTACTGATGAAAAGATACACCTTCTGAACGAAATCGTTGACAATTTTTACAGTGAGAAACTGTACAAGACATGTGTGTTGTCAATAATAATGTCCTTTAACACTAACAAGCACGTTCACACGTACACTAACGGTAAAACAAATTAAGTAATAATTTTAACTCTAAATTACAACTGGTTCAACAACGTCGTAACCTCGTAGGTAAACAAAACTTTAAGGTTAACTGATAAAATGGCGGCCCCCATAGTGTACCGATGCGCAGAAGTCGAAGCTCATTCTCCTTCTCCATATCTCTGGTTTCGTTGCACTTTCCGAGCCCGTAGGGTATCTGATTGGCTTAAAAGTACAAGAAAACACTTCAAAAGTGACGTTTCTGAAGAATTTTAACAGTTTTCTTTTATCTACGAACGCCAGAATGCATAAAATTGACCTAAACGTCTCCTTTTCCTATTCTGAGTCGATTCTGCATGCTTTAAGTGTGTTTGGTGGCTCAGAACCATCAAAAAACGTTGAAATATAGTTCAAATTCAATAAAAATCGACAAAAATACAGTTTCTAGCTAAAATTTGATGGTTTCGTTGCACTTTCCGAGCCCGTAGGGTATCTGATTGGCTTAAAAGTACAAGAAAACACTTCAAAAGTGACGTTTCTGAAGAATTTTAACAGTTTTCTTGTATCTACGAACGCCAGAATGCATAAAATTGACCTAAACGTCTCCTTTTCCTATTCTGAGTCGATTCTGCATGCTTTAAGTGTGTTTGGTGGCTCAGAACCATCAAAAAACGTTGAAATATAGTTCAAATTCAATAAAAATCGACAAAAATACAGTTTCTAGCTAAAATTTGATGGTTTCGTTGCA